GGCAACTGCAAGAGAAATTCTGGTAGTTTGGCTTTGAGTTTCTGTATTTATGGGTGGGGAGGTGAAGAGGGTAAAATTGAGAAAAAATTAATGCAATGTAGACAATCCGAAGCTTCGTTAAATTCATTCTGGTCCAGAAGCAAATAACATAACAAAACCAAACATTCTTAGACAAATTGTTCCTTTTCCTTTTCCAATTGGCTACATTAAATCCGCATTAATTAAAGCATGTCGTAGTGATGAAACACACAAAGCCACTTCTTCATGTAAGGTAGTTGCTGGGAGAAGATTTTCTCCATTAGCAATTACCTAGAATTTGGTTTGTGGTTCCTACTTCCCTGACATGCTTTTCTTCTGTCTTTGTACTGATTTCTCATAGCAAGTAAAACAGAGATCTCCACAGACTTAAGAGACATCTTGTGTACATGCTCTCACATTGCTGAGGTGAGAGAAACTATTGTTGTGGAAAGTTCTAACTTCTAAGAATAGAATGAAACAGTTAATAAAGGAAAGAACACAAAAATGAAGAACAATGGAAAACTCTCAAGACCCTCTCATAGGAAGGGATTTCTACCACTACTACTAAGATGCCCTCTTTGGGGGAGACATGTTGCGAATGAGATGAATAGTGTATCCAAGGATAAACATATGCAACAGCAGTCCTGTGAAAACAAAGATAAGATCATAATGGTTATATGAATAATACAGTTGCAGGTTTCTCAAGAAGATACTAAGAAAAAGATATGTTCTTACCCAATAGGGCACTCACTATCTCAGGAAGTTCAAACACTCCTTGCCAGTGACTTGGGTTTTCTGCTGTCTATATAGCAGATTGATAAACAATTAGGAAACAATTGAAGAAATCATCATAAACATCCAAAGTATAGTTCCAAAAAAAAAAAAAAAAAAAAGATTTAAATGGAAAAGTGAAATTGAGTGCATATGAGTGAATAGTCAGGGAGAACTAATGTTGGGATCCTAATTATAACTACACTTAAAATGCGACATACAAGGACTAGCTTACTATTCTTTATATTTACAAGTTGAAACATTATCTTCTACTATAGTTTTCAGAGTTAAACAAGAAAGAAGATGGCTATGAATTTGTGAATTTATCAAAAGCTATCATTATTATTTAGAAAGAAATGTAAATATGAAAATCCCTGATATATATTGGATACCTCCAGTATGAGGAAAAGGAAGAAGGGCAAACAGAAATAGTTTTTAAGGTGTCAGCTACATTAGCTATTAAGTCCTTAGGTTGCCGTACCACATGTTCCCGGGTCACAAATCAATTACTGATCTCACATTTTGGAGTCTTGCTTCAACAATCAAGATTAAAATACTGAATGCACTTAAAGTGTCCCATTGCACAAGAATTTGATGAGACAAAGCCACCACAATGTCACTACAAAGCTGTCAATTATATGCAATGAAATCTAATAGAACCATCCTATGGACACCTTATTGATCTCAAACTCCTCATATTAGCCACATTCCATGCATTTTAAAATAAATGCAATGCAAGTCTCACATCATTCCTCAACCAAGTAGTTAGCAATTCTTTTACTAACTTATGCTGCAAATGCACTAGCCAGTCTAGCCATCTACTCATAATCTCTAGCTACCCATTTGATCTTTATGTTTTCTACAATCATCCATATTATTTAACAATGAAATGTTAGATGGGGGCCTGACAACATATCAAACAAGACCATCTGCAAATGATGTAAACATTAAGTTTTGAAGCAAGATACAGAGAATTTGTTCTTTCTTCACTTCCCTTGGCAAGATTCCATAAACTGAAAACTTAGCAAGTTTCAGATAAGCTATTTCTACTGATTTATAACTAAGAAAGAATGCTGACAAATGTGATCAATAGTTTCCTTCAAAGAGATTGAAATTTTCAACAAGAAGGACTAACATTATCCTTTTCAATGAAACCAATTAAATACTATTGATTCTAAATTGTATATAAATGAATTTAAAATGACTGGTTTCTCACCCATTTTTTTCATCTAATTCTATTCATTTGAAATATTAACAAGACAGCCTAGTTTTTTTGGTTTATTCAGGTTGTTTCTTCCCTTCTTTTTCCAAAGTTTTAAATTCTCTTTTCTCTATTCATAAACTACATCGAGTTAAAATATTAAGAAGACAGCCTAGTTTTTTTTTGGTTTATTCAGTTTGTTTCTTCCCTTCTTTTTCTAGAGTTTTAAATTTTCTTCTCTCTATTCATAAACTAAATCAAGTTAATACAAATTTGCATTATTTTAGAATCAATACAATAATTATAACTTTTAAACTTTGTTAGTTATAAGTTTGTTAAGGTCTACATATTGCATACCACTAACCCATTCTCCACTTTCCTTTCCTTTTTACTATTTATTTGCATTCAGAATCAAAGGATTTTGAAAACATTGGTGAACTTCAGAATTAAAATAACTTCAAAGGGAAGGGACAAAGATTTCAACAATTCACTGAAAATGGTACATGATAACATAGCCATAAACACATTTCTAATCATATATTCAATAAAGACAAAAACACAAAAAGAAGAGAACATTCTTACCCCTAATTTTGAATTCCTCCTAACAGCACAATACATCCAAAGCACTGCATCAAAAGATGACACGACCATGAAGAATCTCAAGAGACCCACCTGGCTGCGCCTCCGACCTAAAACACATGTAAAATTTAGCATTACAGCAGATGCAAACTAAAGAGTTCATTACAGAGATAATTAGGATTTAGCAAGCAACCTAATTCTCCGATTATCAAGGAAACGAGGCCAAAAGCAGCAGCAGCAATATCGAGCTCACAGGGACCTGAATCCTCTTGTGTTGATAGAAAAATTTGTAAAAACAGTCCTATTACTAGAAGGGCAGCCTGCAATGAAAGAGGAAACTCCTTATCCAACTGAATACAAAGCACAGCCAAAATCAAAATCCCAAACAAACTATCATCGTCATAACACTAGAAACACAGACACCCAAAATGTACATATAATGACAGAGTAATGTACCTGCAAAATGAATAATTTTCGGAGGACCAACTTTGTTTTAGCTACCTTTTGATACCCTACAAGATAATATTAAAATCGAAGAAATTCATAAAAGGGGAATTTTAAGGATTCAAATTTAGGGTTTCAGAAAATTTTCAAGGTAGAAAATACTAGAAGGAAAATCAGCAGTGAGGAAGCATACGGGAATCGACGACCATGCGGTAAGAGAAGTCTGAGCCATCCGTTCCGGTGGGCCGCCCGGATGCAGCGTTTCTCTGATGCATCTTGGTTTGCTATATTTCAGCTTCTTGATTTCATGGTGGTATTTGAAAAGAATCCCGAATTAGAAATAGGAGAAGGAAGGCGAAGCTGAAAATAATGCACATTTTCTGAGAGAAAAATTACCTTTGATGGAAGGTGGAAGTGATCGCCGCCGGCGGGAAAGGTGGGCGGCGGGATTGCTTTTGACGGTAACAGGAGGTTTCTCTGCTTCTTCTTGATATTTACGGGAATTGTTTCCTTAAATTATATCAACATCCCTAAAAGTTTTACATAGTTACAATGCAGTCTGTTTTCTATATTCAATGACATTCCTATCCTTCAGTTATTACTGTTAGGGACACCACATTTTTTTTGCTACAGGGCACCGATGTTGATTCCCCATTTTCTTCTTCTAAACAATTTTAAAGTAGGATTAGTGATTATTCAATTCATTTAAATTCAGTTAAAGGGTGTGCCATAGAAGTTTGAGGTTGTTGGTTACTGGTTTGGATTAATCAAACAGATGAAAATATTTGATTTATAAAAATAATAACTAATACATTCAATATTAACTATTTGTTATTCGCTGCATTTGAATTGCTAATTTAAATCCTAAAAGTATTAATTATGTTAGAAATTAATACAAACGAGTTAGTATTAACTTATATAGGTATAAGATTTAAAAGTTTTACCTAAATTTTCAGTAATTGTATTTGTGAAATTAATGGTTGAGATAAGAATATTATATTTAGCACTGTATTTATCTATTGCTATTATATAATCTATCATTCAATGTACTATAAAAAAATCAACTTGCTAAATTTAACATTATAATCTTAACCATTTGATTTATAGAATCAAATAATTAATAACTTCCATAAGAGACATTTAAGTCTTACATCCATGGTTGTTAAAATCACGAGTAAAATAGTAAAAATTGTGCGATTTTATGATTTCACATATGCAATTCAAGTCAAATCAAAGTCAAAATCAAGATTCTATATACTCAAAATAATAAAATTGTAAAATCGTAGCAAAATTGTAAAATCGGATAAAATGAGGATTTTCGTGTATTTAAATGCTTTTGTGGATTTTTGTGTCACAATGTGATAAACAACCACCACTAGTGCATTGGTGGAGCTGTGCTGGTAAGATTATTCATGGATTGTTTGGTGGTGGTTCAAATCTTTGACCATGTAATTTGATATTTTTGAGTTTTCAAGCAAAAATTTTAAAGTTTTGTCAATTTTTTATCAGTTAAACTAATATTATTTTATTATAAAACTTTTTTTGAGGTCAAAATTATTAAAATTTAAAATAATTTAATAACTATAAAATAAAAAAATGTACAAAAAAGATTTCAAATAATTAATTAGTAATAAGACTTAAATAAATTTTAAATTTAAACATTTAATATTAAATTTTAGTAATAAATAAATTTTAAATTAATTTAATAAACTCTTAATTTTATTAATTCAATTTTATAACTCTGATTTCATCTCACCAAAAGGATTTCACCTAAACTCTGGACTTTGACAACCTTGTTTACACATGTATGTAGACCCTACCTTGTTATAAACCTATATGAAAGTTGCTTCTTCTTAGTTGATCTAGACGGTTCAGGTCAATTTGTCCTAAGTCCAACAGACTTCTCAATTCAAGTCATGAAGTTTGAGGTGTTATTCGTCCAAAATCAAATTCAAGAGATTTCTTGGGCGTTTTGTGCAAATTCAAGGGCTTAAAATAAAAGAAAGATTTTATCAACAACATGATCGTTCGAGTGAAAGGTTCTCGATTTCTTTTAAACAAGGTCGCCAATTCAAGTTTTGTGAATGAAAAAATAAGTGTTTGGAGAGTTTTCCTTTATGAAGTTTAATGCGATTCGACTTTATATTATATTAGTCAGGATCTAATTTGACTCCCATATAGTTGGAGGTTAGTACAAAAGAAAAAATAAAAATAAAAGGAGGATTTTGCTGTTTCAGATAACATCATCCATGCACAACCTTACTTAAACAGGATCTGTTCTGTAGGCTCACATCTCTGAAATCCTTCAGTTCTAAAGATACCATCATGCATATTGTTTGTCAAACTTTTCATTAAGTTACATTATTCATATTCCTTTCTTTTTTTACTGTATAAATCTTCAATATCATGTTACAGCTAATTAGGATTGCCCTTGAAATAAGCCAAGACGCCAACAAAAAAAGCATTCAAATATGTGGTTGGTTCTGACTCAGGAGCATTGCCACGGTCATCCGAAAAGTTATCACTATTGATTGGTCCTCCTGGTAAAGCTCCAGTGAGCAAATTCGGGTTGGGTTTCTTACTTTGGTACCACGGCGTTCCTTCTTTACATTTGATCTGTTGTGGGTGATCCTTAATCGAAGGCAAGGATGAGGCCCGATGATGAATCCTCTGAGGAAACTTATTGCCATATCCGACCATATATGACATGCCTAGTGGGTTCTTACCGAGTATATAATCCGCCTGCATAAATGTAATTGATGTAATTTTAAGTTGAATAACTTCTGCTTGACAATAGTGAAGTCACCGGTTAGTGCTAAAGGCAGAGACCTTAAAATGGCTGTCTGGATTAAATGTGAGACTTCAAATTCCAAAAATAACATACCTGGCCTTTGGCAATTTGGATGAGTTTAGATGCATCCGCAACGACATTACCACAATGAACTTGTCGATTAAAACTTTTCAAATACTGAGCATAGATGAGAATAAGAAGCGATGAAGCTGCCGACAATTGCAAGTTTTGTCCAGTCTGCGTTAAAAGCCCACCTACAAATATATAACATATACATTAATAAAATGAGTTCGGGAACTATCTCATGTTGTATTCAACTTGTTAAAAAAATTACTTAAAGAAAAATGTACCTGGAGTGTATTTAAGGTATTGGGTAGGTGAATTAGGCAACAAAGAGCAGACAAGGTTGTCGGCTTGAGTAACAAAAGGATTGGAACCGGCATTATTCATTACAAACTGCCATTACCATCATGAGAAGAAAATAACATTGTTATTTTTTAATTTTTTTACTCTAATTATCAAAATTTTAACAATATAAAATAACTTAGTTAATTTTTTTAATTAGTTAATTTTTAAAAGTTTAATTCAGTGTTATTCAAATTATGATAATTAAATTGTAAACCAACTACAACTTTATTAAACATGCCAATAATTATGAAAATTTTTTACATACCTTTAGACTAATCAATTTTTAGTCAATTTTAAGAACATACTTCTTATATTAACCTAATACATTTAAAAAAATTAGTTTCTTTGAATGCTATTCTCAAGACTTAAACATTGGACTTAATCCATGAGACTATACTTATTAATAAATTCAACATTTAAAGTTATTTAAAACCAATTAGTAATAAATGCAATAGACTTCCTTGTATTTAATTTATATGCATTCTTAATATTTTTCGAATGTGAAATTTGTAACACATGCTCCTTACATGTAGGTTCAGTATGACTTTGAGTTTTGTCAATGGATCTTAGACTATAAACTTAAGACATTATTCTCATGTACAAGTTTGATTTGTACTCATGAGCGGGTGGATGAGTTGGCTGAGATTTTTCCAGCTTAACCAGAGGTTTTGAGTTCAAGCCCTGGAAATGCAGCTTTGTTAAAACTCATGAGGGAGAGCTTTACCGCCTATTGGGTCCTGCTCGACTCGAATCCAAATTAATCAGTAACCCAATGGACTTCTAAATACCGAATGGTTATACCAAAAAAATAAATTTGATCTGTCATGTGGATCTTGACTAATAAATAGACTTAATATGCCTCCCTCATAGAATTATCACAAGATCTCAGGCTTCCGAAAAGCAAAAGCTGGGGCTTTAATATCATATTAAAATTGATTATATGAGTTTCAATTTAAAATTTGCTTCCAATTTAAAACTAATTAATAATAGATAAAATAATTTTTTATCTATTTAATTTACATATCTTTTAAATATTTTCCAATGTGGGATTCCTAATACATATGGCAGATGTACAAAGGAACGTTTTAGTACAAGATAATACCTGGGAGAAAAGTACGTAAACTCCTCCTTGCTTTGCATCCCATCCATACGATGGTCCTAAATATAGGATGTCATTTATATTCTTTTGAACGAAATCCCAGTATTTCTGAGATTTTGTAGCTCTATACAGCCATGCAGCTCCCCAGACTAACTCATCCTGTTAATTAGAGATTAGAATTTCCATTAAAAAAAAAAGGAGAAGAAGAGAAATCTTTAACGGTTTGGGATTAACCGTGTACTATACTAAATAGAGCCATGATTAAAAAATGTAACCGCTTTAAATCAATGTATACATACCATGTAGCCGTTGAGACTACAGTAGAATGGGCAGCTGTCTCCTCTCTTCATAGCTCCGTTATAAGATTTTCGATATTTATCCGCGAAGTCAAAGACCTAATTTCCAACATCTTAATTAATTAAAAAAAAAAAAACTGAATTCGAATCATACAAAAAGGAAACAGAGTAAATAAATAATGACCAACCTTGTAATTAATTAACTAGTACTGACCTCAATAGCTCTTTCGAGAAGAGTCTTAGAATACTTTGCATCTGCGGATTGAAAGGCCATGGAGGCTGATGCAAGTGCAGCTGCAATCTCCGCTGCTAGATCCGAGCCAGGGACTGAGGCGTTAACCACATAACTTGTTCGAAGAGTGTCCATGTCCTCAGGCCTTTCCCAGCAGTTGTGGTCAGAAAAGCCGTCACCAACTTGGGCGACGATTCTTTCGGAGACGTCTGTGGCTTTTAACAGGAAATCTGTGCCAAAAAGAATGGCTTGTAGTGCATTTTGCTTCTCTGAGCCCATAAATTGCCCGAACTCAATCACGCTCCAAGCTAGATTTGTCACTGTGAATGCCATTGGAAAAGTGAACTTCACATTGTCACCCGCGTCATAATATCCACCAGTTAAATCCATCTAAAAATCAAAATAATTAACAGTATCAAATTCAAAATTTTTTTTAAAAATATAAATTAACAAAGATTTTTAAAGCATAATTTAAGTGTGTATTTTTTAATATATCTTTTGTATTAAAAAATAAAAATTAATATTAATTTTAACCACCTTAAATTAAATCAAATTAAATTCAATAGTGCAATAAATCAGATAATAAGACAATAAATGTATTCCTAAAAGGTTAAAAAACCCATGAATAAATCTTTTATGACGAATAAAAATAAATAATGGATCAACTTAATTACGCCAATATCAGAGCCATCTTTAAGGCCAGAATTCTTTCTCCAGGTCATCCTTTGGCCACGAGGCAGATATCCAGATCTCTGGCCTTCGAAGAACAAAATGCACTTTGACAAAGCGTCGCCGTAATCTGCTGAAACTGTTGCCACAATTCCTAATGATGACACTAACATTAACAGAAGCGAACCTCTGCTATTGGCCATCGTTTTTTTTAAATAATTGGTTCTCTGTTTGATTCCAATTGTTTTACTTCTCTTTCTGTATGGCATTAATATATAGTAGTAGTAAGGTTAAATGAGAATAATGATGCAATGAATGAGACTGGAAAATTGACTCCAGATTCAGCACAAAAGAAAACAACAATATAAGAGACCTATAGAAATCATTTAAGTGAAAAAATCTAAATGATTTTTCCCTTTTTTAGTTAATTTCCAACCCAAATCCTTATGATCCTTATAAATCAGAATCCACTTACCATATACTCAGGGATGGAGTTTGGGGGTGCCAAAAGTTATAGGTTAAATATCCTTTTTGGGTCCCTCTACTATAGGAAAAAGCCCATTTTTGGTCCCTGTACTGAACAAAGTCCCTTTTTGGTCCCTAAATTTTACAATCCGGCCCCTTTTTGTCCTTTCATTAAATTTTGGCTAATGTGGTAAGTTAATTAACAAAAAAACTTATTTTTTTATTAAATTATGTGAAAAATCCATTTGGTGAAAAATTCATGTGGGAAAAATTGGTGACATGGTTAAATTTTTTACTTTTAATTATTGATTTACCCTCATCTTCTTC